TTTTGTTCAAGCTTGTTTGCAGCACGTGGCATAGGCTCCCAGAGACTTTGCCAACGAACCAGAGACCTCTCAGGTCATCTGGGACAGGTCTGCTTTGTTCCCCCAGAGTTAAAACTAGCAGCAATTAGTTTTTCACGTATCTGAAACAACTCTCAGTTCTTTTAAATCAAGGCTGAAGACTTTTCTGTTTGCTGCTGCCTTGTATTGAATCAAACATTTATTAATTTCTTACATTACACTGCAACTTTTATTCTTGTATATTATTAGTATATTTAAGCTTGGTCTTATTGCAACTTCTGTAGCTCTTTAATGTCATTTTTAACTGTATTTAAATTTCCTTTTTTAATGTGTTTCTTTTGAGAGTTGGTGGTGGAGTCAGTGTCCTTTATTCAAAAACCTTTTATAAAAACATACTTGGCTGAAGACAGAGGCACCTACAATTAAGGACTTGGGTGGATGTAGGCTAATACATGATGTATATGTGATGGAGAAGTTGACTTTTTCTTCCAGATTGGAACTGGGAAAAAAGTTATAGACTTATGACTGAGAACTGGACTGAGTACATATCGTCAAGCAGGTCGGACTTCATATGAGAAAATGTGTAAACTGAAGAATCCTTTGGTTCGTTGCATTCATTTGAAATGTTCTATAAGTTGTCCACATGTGTTGTGCATGAGGGGAGGAGGAAAAGGACCGAGATTCATTTTTTATTTACTTTTCCATATTTTTTTGCAGTTTTATTAGCTCATTTTTGCTTATTTTAGTATTTTTATTGCCCTTTTTCCTTTGTTTCCTTTTCTTTCTTTGCTATTCTGTCTAGAATGACTGATGGAAGAGGTGTAGACAGATAGGGATATGAAAGTTTAGACATGGATCTGTAAATGCACAGAAGAACGAATAAGCAAGGATACACCCATGTGGATGTAAGGTACTTAAGTATAGTATAGTTTAGTATAGTACCCTTTACTATATGTATCTATGTGGGTATGTGTGTATATGTATTTTTCAGTTCATTGTTTTTTGCTTTGATATAAAAAAAACAAAACAAATGTAAAGATACTTTCATTTATCTTGATTTTAATAGACCTTTTTAATCATATATTACTGTAATTTGTTTTGACCTACATTATTCAGGTTCAGCTTATTTATTAATTTACTTACCTATGATTTGATTATATGATCTGCCTTATGTAAGAGAGTGCTCTTTAAATAAATCATCATGTTTGTTTATTATTATAGTGTTTCAGATAAATAGCAGCTACAGTGTATGCAGGCAGTTACAACAAACGACTATTTGCATATATTTTGGATATACATACCTATACAGACACTCGTTGGTGGATCCCATCGCCCGAATACGTCTTCTTTGAGGGCCTCCTTAATTCAACCAACACCACACCATACCAGGGTTCCAACACCTTCCCAAACATCAAATTCAATGACTTTTTAAGGACTTTACAGGCCCCGTTCCCTCAAATTCAAGGACCCGACACGGCATTGTTTAAGACAAAAATAAAAGTTACTTGACAGCGGGCTTTACAGAAGCTCCAGGGGAACAATAAAAAGAGAAAGAGTCTTGAATGTGTTAACACTTCTCAATTGTGCCGTTACAGTGCAGGCAGACAATGTGGCCTCTTGCCCTCTCTAACAAAGCACAGCAGAACAATATATTGTGTAAGTTGGGCAATAGAGACACACTTATTTCTGAATTGAGGAGCGATTCTTGCACAAAATATGTAAATTCAAGCACTTTAAATGACCTTTGTCTACTTCAAGGCCTCATTTTTTTCCTTTAAATTCAGAAACTTTCAAGAACCCATGGGAACCCTGCCATATGATCCTCACCCTCCTCTGCTGGAAAAAAGTTACATTGGCAGGAGAGGACAAAATTCTCACTAACAATAGACATGCTCACTGACAGACAATTTAAATATGACAGAAACACCTCTATAAAAGATAAAATTGAACTACATTACTCTCCTCTACCACAATAGCAGGAATACAATTATTATTTTCATCTCTTTCCTGTTTTGCTTCTCCTCCAGGGAGGTCAAAGGTCAGGGTCAGACAGACTCACGGCTCCTGGAGCTGATACGGCTGTGGTATCTTGCTGAAGAACAGCCTCAGCAGGGTGAAGGCAGCGGGGAACTGGCCTCTGGACATCCAGATGGAGGACGGTCTCTCTCACCATGAAGCCGTCCTGCCACCCTGCTGGTGTTATGTAGACCTGGTCACTCCTACACACTGAGCTGTTTTTGCTGTCAGTGGGCAGTGAAGTAGGGGACTGTTTAACCTCGCTGGCAACACACTAACTGTGCTTGTAAAGTAGTTGTGCTGCATATTATTATTTAAGAGTAACTTAATAACACCACTTAATAAAAGATATTTTCACAGCCGTGTATTGACGAAAGTTTCCGGTCTGTTACACCACACACAGCATCACTAATGGGTGTGGTCAGAAGTGTGCTTGGGGGAGAGTTACTGTCCCAACCGAGGGAGTTCAAGTATCTCAGGGTCTTGTTCACGAGTGAGGGTAGAATGGAGCGTGAGATGGATCAGCAGTTTGGTCGGCTCTGCAGTGATGCCAGCACTGATGAGCCAGAAGGCAAAGCTTTTGATTTACTGGTCCATCTCCGTCCCAACCCTCACCTATGGTCATGAGCTCTGGGTAGTGACCGAAAGAATGAGATCGCAGATACAAGTGGCCAATATGAGTTTCCTCCGTGGGTTGGCTGGGCTCAGCCTTAGAGATAGGGTAAGGAGCTCAGACATCTGGAGGGAGCTCAGAGTAGAGCCGCTGCTCCTTTGTGTTGTAAGGGGTCAGATCAGGCATCTGATCAGGATGCCTCCTGGGCGCCTCCTGTTAGAGGTGTTTCAGGCACGTCCCACTGGTAGGAGGCCCCGGGGCAGACCCACTGGAGGGATTACACATCTCATCTGGCCTGGGAACGCCTTAGGGTCCCCCAGGAGGAGCTGGAACGCGTTGCTGGGGAGATGGACGTCTTGGGTGCTTTGCTTGGCCTTCTGCCTTCGCAACAGATAAACAGATGAAAATGGATGGATGGATGGATAGAGAAGTGTGCTCTTGTAACCTCATCTATCAGTGATGTGATGTGATCAGATGTACTCATACAGAGATCAGCTGCTAGGATTGTTTTTTAAAAGGCTGCAATGATTCTGAGTTCAGGCAGGGTCGAAATGCAAATTAGAGTTACTAGGAACACAACTTTTTTCCACCCACACCACAACAAAACTAGACTTATTGATTTATAATATTATCAGTAAGCTCTTCACATTTCCATTCACCTCCACTATATTGGGGTGGAGGCAGACATTGATATCTAAAAACCCGCTCAGTTAATAATGTTTGCAGTTTGATATGGCAACAAATTTGACCAATGTTAGCAACAGTAACAAGCTAAGATGCTGTTAATTAGGAAGTACTTGTTTGAAGATGTTGGGAGTCGGGACTTAGTTATCGTTGACAAGGTTTCCTTTTTTATACTTTTATATCAGTCCTACTGATCCCAAATAGCTAGGAGAAATTAAAAATGCATACCAAACAAAAGTTCAGGTCTCAGGAGGATATTACCCATGTAACCAATTCAGCAAATCAAAATCAGTGAGGCTGAACTTATACAGCACTGAGTCAATTTTCTAACAGTATCTGAAATCCGAATATCCTTAATAAAATCCCTCATTAAATCAGAACCAGGCCAGCATCACATAGCTCAATTTGGTTGTGTAACACTGCTCCTCTGCTATCAGAATGAGAAATTATCGCTCATTAGTTGTGTTTCAATTCAGCTGTCAAGAGAAATTTAAGCACTTTTGAAATGTTGCAAAAAAGAAATGCAAATCAGACGCGTTTCCAGCAACAGGTTTGGAGCAAGGTTATTATAGTTCACTAGAGCTGAACATTTTAGTTAACTGAAATGAAAATAAAAAGTAGACTTTAGGAAAAAAGTAAAGTATTGGAAACAATATTGTGCACTTACAAAAGTGACTGAAATAAAATATCTAAGTTTTAGCGTTTGTCAATTTGTTCACATCTGTTAGAACAACAAGCATGATGAAGCACTGATGCACACGGGATGTCTACATGACTGTGAGCACACTGTTGAGGCTCTGCGGCGGTATTCCTGCCTGCATATCCACACTTGGAAAGCCGACCGCCATCCACTCTGTGCAATACACTGACCGCGGATAAGTACCTCACACAACCCTACCTCAAAACATCCAACCTGTCCCCTTGAGTGTAGAGCCACTCAGCGGATTGTTGGCAAGCTTTCCCCAAAACATATGTAGTGTGGCACGAGTGAAGAAGGCAAGTGACTCAATTAAAAAGTGCGTTGTTTATTGTAATACCTATTCTGAACTTCTTAGACAAATACCCCCATCAAAACTAATACTGACACTGAGTAAACATTTTTAAATAATAAAAACTAAACTGAATCAAGCAGCCTTTCTCTGAAAACTAACTGAAACTAAACTGAATTATAAAACAAAATAAGAAACAAAATGAAAATAAAAACTACAGAATAAAGCGAATAAACAAGGCTACGAGATGAGTAGTTTCGTCAGAAAATGGCAGTATAGGCCAGTGGTTCTTAAATGGTGTGCTGTGAGACTTTGTGATAACCACACATTATTACAAAATTCAACTGGGCCAATACAAAAAGTTATGAATGAATGTGAGTTAAATGTCTGCTACATCAGAAATTACTTGGCGAAAGCATTTCTATATCCCGTTTATTGTTTAAACTCTTTTTCTACTGCTGTAAAAACCACCTCAGGGCAAATGTGAAAACTTTTTTGTGCAGTTCAGGAAGTTTTATCGAATTTTGCCGCTTCCATGCAGCTTTTTTAACGCAATACTTCAAAATCCACATAAAATACTTTCATGGAAACATGATGCCGACTGATATTGGTTTTAAATGGTTTTAAATGATGTAGTTTATAATGTGATTTATAGTAAAAGGCACTCAAGACAAAAAAAATATGCTGCGAAACTTACTTTACTGGAATGTAAATATATTTTCAACAAGTAACAAGACTTACCTACAGTATGTACATTAAAGCACTGTTAGTCAACAAATTAATTAAAATAGTAATTCTAAGAAACACACATGTATTTTAAGACATTACTGGCAGCAGTAGTGGTTAAAGCTGATTAGGAACAATGACCAGGTTTTACAAAATCTGTGCCTAATGGTGCACCTTCAGGATCCACCATGGACCTCAGCTAGAAGTACCAGAGTTTTATTTTAAGTACTGGAGTAGTAAAATGCCACTGTGTGAGATCAGCTGACTGAGAGACTGGCCTGTTTTATTGGTGCTCTTTCAGGAACTCTTTCATATAGGTGGCCAGGGTCTCAGTGTCCTCCAGTGTTACAGCGTTGTACAGAGAGGCACGAATTCCTCCAACTGACCTGCAGGGGGAGACAGAACGTCTTGTCTGAGGTCTACACACAGAAAGGTAAAGTTAACATCTAACTTATGTCGAACTTCATCTAACCTTACATATGAAAAAAAGACATCAGTAATGTCTTCAGTAACCTACAAAATCTAGCAATAAAGCCAGTATTAATGCAATGACAGGAGGCATGTGTCTGACTAACCTGTGTCCTTTCAGAGATATCATTCCACGTTCGACCGCACCAGCCAGAAATTCTTTTTCCAAGGCTTCGTCTCCTTCTTTCTTCCCCACACGAAACGGTACGTTCATACGGCTGCGACAATTCACATCTACGGGACACCTAGACAGGTGGACACAGTGGTAAGTAGTTAGAAGTTTAAATTTTCACTTCATTAGTTACATTTATTTATTTATTTAACCTTTATTTAACTAGGAAGTCCCATGAGATTGAAAATCTCTTTTACAAAAGAGACCTGGCCGAGGTAGCAGCCATTCAGAGCACATTTAAAAAGCAACGAATACAACATGTAATATAAAAAACAAAAAACAAGCACACATCTCTGTCACCACATTCTTTCTGATGCCCTTAAATTCATAAATGGATATAAGTGTTTCTCATGTTAGATCTTTTTGGAGATTGTTCCATGCCCATGGTGCAGAGTAAGAGAATGTGGTTTGCCCCAGATCTGTTTAACCCCAGGGTACATTCAAAAGCAACCACCAGTGAGAGCATAGCTGGTAACTACCAGGGCTGACACACAGAGCGGAGCAGAGGTAGGTCGGAAGTTTGACCAATATTGCTTTATAGATAAAAAAATAAACCAGTGCTGTTGTCTGCGAGTGGTCAGTGATGTCCAGCCCACTATGCAGTGATGAGAAAGTGACTTTGCATTTGTAATAAAACATAGAGATGCATTATATACTGAATCAAGGCTACGTACGCTTTAAGTATCTAGGTGTACAACTGGATAATAAGTTGGACTGCTCCCTAAACACAGACACTCACAGACACTGAAGATGTTCGAGGCCATCATGAACAACCCAGATCATCCACTCCACAACACCTTGATGGACCAAAAAAAACTGTGGTGGACGGCTCCTCTCTCTTCGATGCAGGACAGAGAGATACAGAAGATCCTATATACCAACAGCCATCAGGCTTTATAATTCTTTGACATGTAATAGATGAGCTGACAGATAATTGAATTTCCCCTTGGGGATGAATAAAATTATTCTCAATCTTATTCTTATTATTAATCACAGAGAGAAAAGTAGCTTCCATTCATTGTATACTAAATGACCTCAAGTTTGGTCAAGTAGCCAAACTAAAAAAGTGGTACACTTATAATGAGTTTGTATTCCATGTGTATGCATTACATAAGTTGTAGTGACATTCCCTCTGAATATCAAAAAAGCCACTAATGAGCTGTAGGCACATAATTAATCTAGCTATAATCTAGATATAATCTATCTTAAAACTTAAAATACACTCAGTTACATGGTACAAAAACGATGTGCTCCCATGCTTAATGCAGCTCTCTGCTCAACTAAACTGCACATGACGTAAATTAAAAAATAAAGGGAGCGTCCTTATCTAATTTCAACATACATGCATTTTAGTTCTTTTACATTTTTATACAGTATTTATGTTTTATACAATATCTGGATATGCATTTTGTATTACATTAAAATTAAGTTAAATTCACATGTTGTGACTCTTGAAGGTATTTTCTTAGGGTTGTTTTATTTTCCCTTTAGTTATCAGGGCTCAACAGTAATGGTTGCCAGGTTACCATTGGCAACCATTGAGAAATCGTGGCCCAGTTCTCGGCCTTTGGTTGCCATCAGTGGCCCAGCACAGCAAACAACAAAACATGCAACCCACAATAAAAACATTTTTTAAAATTGTTGCATGAGTGATATTTAAAAATTTAAGTAACAGAACCAGACTATGTCACATGTAACAACTCTTGTGTTGGTAAGTTTATTCAAGTGTGCACAGGCATCTATTTTAAAGACGCTGGTGGAGGAGATGAAGTTGTTTGGGTGTGGTGTGATAACAATCACAAATCAATGTGCAAATTGATTTCACAAACAAAGAACCAGATGAACCTGAACTAAAAATAAACAGGGAGGTGAAGCATCGCAGCGTCTTTGAGCTGGATGGAAAGTGATACTGTAAAGCATTTATATAATACACCTCATTAAGTGACACACAAAGGTCATATAGTTTGTATAACTGCATAGTGTCTTAATTACTCAAACATAGGCAAACATATTTTCAATTTCGAACTGGTTCCAGCCTCACAACCACTTTTGATATTTAGCATTGAGCCCTGATTATGTTACGAGAGAGAGCTCTTATTTTGAAGGCAACTTGCCAGGGGCCAAAATACACAGCAAAAACACCAAGACAATGTCAGCACTTTGAAGTATTGTGATACTCACTCATAGAAGCCATTAGAGCCGTTGATGATGTCATAGATCATGGAGGACTTCTGCTTGTTGAGCCTCTCCATGGCAGCGCTGCCGCCGTTGTTCTTGATCCACTCCAGAACCAGACCCATGATGTAGATACTGAACCCACAAAATTAAATAATGAATGATGTTTTACATAATTGTGAACTGTTTTTTAATATCCGTGAAAGGAATTGTTCAATGTTTTGGAAAATACACTTATTTGCTTTCTTGCAGAGAGTTAGATGAGAAAATTGAATCATGTGTGTATGTTACATATAAAGCAGCAGCCGGTTAGCTTAGCTTAGCTTAGCATACAGTAAAGCCTGGAAACAGCTAGCCTGGGTCTGTCCAAAGGTACTCTCACTGTTTGAAATGCTATCTCATTTGTTTCCTCCATCCAAAAATCAAAATATAAAAACAAGTTGTGGTTTTACAGGGTGCTGCTCTGAAATCTTGTCCTCTCTGAAGTTGCCAGGCAACCACTGGAGACCCCAGGAAGTAACAAGTCACAGCCCAGAAACAGTTTGGCACACAAACCCGAAAAAAACAACATCACTGACATATGATGAGTTAATTAGTGAGCTTTAGATGTGCCGCTGATTTTTTAGCTTTGGACTGAGCCAGTAGCTGTTTCCAGTCGTTATGCTAAGCTAAGCTAACCAGCTGCTGGTTGTAGCTTCATATTTACAAGACAAACATGAGAGTGGTATCAATGTTCTCATCCAACTCTCTGCAAGAAAACAAATGAGCACATTTCCCGTAATGCTGAAATATGCCTTTAAACTTGTGTGGTGAAAAAAGCAGCCAGTAATTCCAGGAGACACAGAAATGAGTAAAAAGTTCAGCTTGGTTTTTCTAAAAATGTGACACATGTACATTTTACAAATGCATTTTTCTCAGCTGACATACAGACTATACAGATAATTCTCAATCTGTAGGAAACATGGAAGGTTCTAAGGACAAAAGCAGAGGTGAGTCTGTACCTGAAACACGGCGGCGTGTTGTAAAGTGAGTTATTTTCAGCCTGCACCTTGTAGTCCAGGACAATGGGACACTCTTTGAGCGCGTGGCCTATCAAGTCCTCTCGCACGATGACCACAGTAACCCCGGCACAGCCCACGTTCTTCTGAGCTCCGGCATAAATCAGCCCGAACTACAGAATGCAAGAAATATGACTTTATTAATCCATGCCATTGACTTGTGGCACAAAAACTGCTTAATTTGTATCTAAGTCAAATATGGGTGCTACTCCCTTATCACTTAGGGATAATAAATGTTTTCCTGACATGTGATATGAATAATATGGAAATCTGGGGGACAAGGAGCACAAAAGCAAAAGGGGTTAAACATTTTATTCAGTATCATTCTTGTCTTCACCTTCGATACATCCACAGGTCGAGACAGGAAGTTGGAGGACATGTCGCTGACGAGGACCACCCCGTTTGTTTCAGGTGTGAAGTTGTACTCCACGCCGTGGACCGTCTCGTTGCAGCAGTAGTACACGTAGGAGGCTGAGGGGTTCAGGGTCCAGCTGCTGGGGTCGGGGATTTCTGAAGGGAGCAAAGACAGAACATTGTTAAACAAGAGCTACATAGTTAAACCGGTTTCTTTGGTGATTTGTAAAGCCTTCTTTTGGAGGTATTTTGTCTCCAGTGGCCAGAGTGACACAAAGAGTGTCAATGTTCTAACAAATAATTTCCCTGATGCTTACATGAAGTTTAAACTTAGACTAGTCGACTAGTCTAAAAGTAAGAGATCACTCAGAAAACAGTCAAAGTGAGCACAATCAAAAAAGTATTGTGTATATTTTAAGAGCCATTTGAAATCGTTAAACACATATTTCGATAACAAAATTCTATTTCAAATGCCACTGAGATGTGTGGCGCTTTGCACCGTGCATTATCCTAAAAAACATGACAACAAGTCAATAAATACAAGCTAAGAAATAAGATTTACAGTGTATTTAACTTCCTGACTCATCTCCATTTTAAAAACACACACTCACAGGTTAAGTCTCTCATGCATGAGTATGCACGCAAATCGACACACACACATGTTGAGGCTTCTCAGGATCTTCCATGTGCCCAAAAGCACGTCTCTTTCAGCCTGGAGAGAAGACATTGAGACAGTGCGAGTGTGTGTAAGGCTCAGACCTACTTTCCACGTTGAACGTCTGCTGACAGCTCAATGGTTCCATCCATTGAGTCTGAGAGCGCATGTGTGTGTTTGTTCTTGGCTTTGTGTGTGAAAAGAAAGAGCGAGGCAGCTGATGACAATCAGAGCCGCTGCTGAGTCTCACATCCAGATCCAACCTGCTCCAGTTTTCCTCCAAACTAAGTTTAACCAACTAGTATTTCTGGTGACAAGTAGCGAGGGATAGCAACATTTAATGGACTAGTGGACTGACTGCAACCACCCCTAGCAAACACCAGATGTGCCTCATGACTTTCTGTCTGAAGAGCCACATGTTCAGACAAAAATGCAGGTTGAAAAGACTGAAGAAACAAGCCATTCAGAGCACAGAAGGCTCAATATATTTTGATTTTGTATCATGTTTCTTTTAATCCATATTGTTAATGAAAGTAATTTACATTTAATTCCAAAAACACTGTAAAACTGCCTCCAGACTTTAGAATAAACAAGAACCCCACTGAAAACCCCAAATCAGACACAACCATGTGGAAAAGGCTGCTCGCATACCAGAGTCTTTTATTGGTCATCTGCTCTATTGTTTATTACCTAACAGCCTGGGCACATGGCCAGGTTCTGCACAGGGACTGTCCTCATATAGCAGGACCGTCAATAACCAACTCATAAGAGCTGAAACTATTTTTTGATGTGGTGATTAAAATTTTATTTAAAAAACGAAAGAAGAAATTAGGAACTTGCTAAACCTCCACTTTGGGACTAAACCTTGTCACTGGTACATGCTTGCTACTTAAAAGTTTTTGTTTGTGGCAGTTGTGGCAAAAGAAAATTATTATTAGTCTGCCTCTGCATTAACACAACATGCACACACACTTACTGGTGTAACTGTCCAGCTTTGGGTGGACAATGTTGACTTTGCCGTATTTCGCCGCCTCTTGTGCTGCTTTTGCCGACCACGTGCCGGTCACCAGGTAATCTGCGCACCTGTCCTCTTTAAGACCAATCAGGTTGAGGGGGACAGCGCTGAACTGTCCAGTCCCACCGCCCTGCAGGAACATCACCTTGTAGTTGTCTGGGATGTTTCTGTGAGGGCAAAGGTTTCTGTGTTAAAACAGTGTAGAGACGTTACGCTGATCCTACCTTCAACAGACACAGTATATCCGTATCTGACACACTGGTGTGGATGAAATGTCACAATTAAAACAGCTGCATCTTCGTTTCGCTATAGTTTATCTTTATGGTGTGTCAATGTAAATGGTAAAATAACTGTTAGAATAAACCAGGGGTTGGCAACCTGCAGCTCTGGAGCCACATGCGGCTCTTTAGCCCCTCTCCAGTGGCTTCCCGAGGCTTTGACCAAAAATGAGGCCACATGAAAACAATTCACATCCATTTTTTAACATTTTAATTTTCAAATGTCATTGTTGTTGGCCAAACACATGGTTTGTAAAGTGACAAACTTCTTGAAAGTTTGCAAAGACTGGAGCATGTTTCAACTCCTCCTGATGAATCTGACGTTAGCCCATTTAAGCCCACCGGCAACAATAGTTGCCAAAGTGTATGCTTGTCATTTTCCACTTATAAATACATTTGTAAATACTATACATGTTTTGTATATCAATGATATGTGAGTAGACACCTTAGAAAATCATATTAAGAAAAAAAATTAAGTTTCCACATACTTCCTGTCACATGGCGTTGTTGGGTTCCTGACCCATCTTACTGAGGGCATGGCGACAACAAACCACCACAAGTAAAGGTGATTTTCATATTATAATAATATTTTTTTTGTTGACATATATATATATCTACTTAATCATGAAAGTCTCTAGAATCATCCAAACAACAGGAATATTGCACTGGATGTATAGTTTTTTCTGTATGCAATCATTTGTCCAAGCGGCAACTATTGTTGCCGGTGGGCACATACCTTATCAGTAGATAATAATGTTAGCTAACATTACCGACATTACAAAGGGCTAATATTTGGTAACAATACAGTTTTTGATAGTGTTAGCTTTAACATTTGGTAACCAACATTACTAGTGTTTGGTAGCTAGCGCTAGCTAACTACCTAGCTAACTAACTAGCTAGCTGCCAATGTTAGCACTGACTGTGTTGCACTGTGTAGTAGATTAGAAGGACTGAATGATGTCAAATACAGGGAGAACATCTTTAACACTATTGTACATGAACAGGGATACAGAATTGGAATTGTTTGGTAAAAAATATCCATTTCAAATTGCGTTAATTTCACAAAATGGTGGCCCCCAGTGGCTATGGGAACAAACTCTTTCGTGTTTTCCACAGAGATAAACCAGGAGGATTAGAGAGGTATACTTTGGCAGAGGTTTTGGACATCCTTGATGCAGATGATCCCTCTGCAAAAATCACAAGCATTTCAGTTGTGCCAGAGTCTGAGAATAATGCCCGCGAAACAGACTGTGACAGCGATTTTTCTGATGATGATGATGTGACCTGTGATCCCAAAGCCTACCATCTAGGCTGCTCAAAGGAGACTGCTTTGTGTCTGATGGTGACATGCAACTACCCATCATTGATGATGGACAAGAACCTGAGTAGCTATGTTTCCATCCAAAAGTGATTCGAATCATTGGGAAATGCGCATTAAAAGAAATACGAATCCTGTGTGTTTCCATTAAATGTACGGACTTTGGTGAAAACTACGAACTCACACGAGTTTTCCGCAGAACCGAAAACAAAACAAGTCTCGCATTGTTCTTCTTCTACGTTTTCTGGTGGTTGGCAACCAGCTTGTAAATGCATTACCGCCTTATTAAGGCTAGAAGTGTTCTTATTTTGTCCTCCGTCTACACAAGTCTTGTGTTGTTGTTTTCTGCAATGTTTTTGCCTTGTGAGTGAACCAGAATCACCGGAAGCAGTTGGGGTGAAACTGCGCTACGTCAGACTTAATTCAAACATAACTGTTTCCATCCCCCGTTTTGTGAATCAACATTTTTTTCTTATCAACCAAAACCCGGCTATAGCGAGTGTATTTCAGTTTGTGCGAATCAGGGGATTTTCATTCGAATTTTGGCGTTTCCAAGTTTTTTGATGACAAAATTTATTAATTAAATTGTTCTCATACTTGTTTTAAATAATAAAAGTCTTTCTCAATAAAGACAGCTGAATTACATGTTGTTTTTTGTGCTCTAATTCACTTTTCACCATTAGAGGAGTAGATACAAGGTATGTGCCCACCGGCAACTATAGTTGCCGAACATTCAAATGAGATTTTCTAGAACAGAGAGCACAAAACGGAGGAAATAACTTTAGAACATGTTCATATGGGACTCAGTTAACATAATTATATGCATAAAAACATTGAGAAAAATTTGGGCACAAATGGGTTAATAACTGTGGTGAAACACGCCTCCTTCACAAGCAAACACAAGCCAACCCCCCCTTGAACCATTCTGGCACTCATCAGCAGTCTGAGACATAAACAATGTCAGCAAAGAGGGCCAGGACTTGGAGGAAGATGAAAGGGAATGTGCAGATGATAATTGATGTGGCAACAGTATCATCTCCATCATTCTACTTGTCTATAAATCATAATTCACTCGACATTCTTCTGTATGTCTGGGTGTGCAGGTTTTTTTGTCCCTGCTATATGGTGACGATCAAATAAAAAGACGTCGCCCCAGAAGTCCTGCATAGAATGGGGCCATCTGTTTCCATGACATGTATATTGTGAGAAAATATTTGACACCCTTGTTTGGAAGGACAGTGGAGTGAAGCAGGAGGACAAAACAGTTGTAGTCATGTGAAACAACAAAAGCAGCACTTACAACAACTCTCGCAGGAGACCCTCCGTCTTGTTGAGGATTTTGCCGAAGTCTCCTGATCGGTGACTCATCTCTGGTTTGAACAGAATCACAAACATTTGAATTTAATCTCACCATCACTGGCATTTACTCACCTTTCAGCACATTTCAGTTATATCTGATTAACACATTTAACGCTGACGCACATCTGTAGGACAGATTCCAGTGAGGAAGCAGCGTTCAGTTGTGATGGCTGATAACAGTGTTGATGTGCTGCCTTGATTAGATCAATGAAGTTATCATGAATCTGACACAGTTTTACAGGGTGTCAGAAATATGTGAAGTAAATATCTTCCAAGGTCACTGTCTTTTTATGAAGCATTCCTCCTCTGTGGTTGAACAGGAAACAAAAAATGTTGGGGCATACCTATTTGATTTGGTAAATTCAGACAGCTGAAGCCTCATATTAGCTGCAGATAAACTTTGGATCAACAATGTTGCACACAGCAAGGACTGTGTGGATGTTGTCCCTGATCACTTCCATTAAAAGCACATTATGAAGGGATCTCTTAATGTCCAGTATTCATGAAAAGAAGGAATGATTATTACTAATGATATACTTGAGTTAATGCGTTAAGAACTTTCGTAACATGTATACGTACTGATCATGTCTGGAATAAAGTAGTTTCGTCTCATTATAACTTAAAAACTTTAACTCATCAGTAGTTCTACTCACCAAGAACGCTAATACCAAGGCCGCTGTAGCTGAGGAGCTCCTTCTGTGCTTGTAGCAGCACCTGCAATATAAAGCACAGCTTAAAAGTATTTCTCCACAACTTAAAGAGGCAGTTCACCCTAAAATCAATTCTACATATTTTCCCTTTTACTTGTAGTGTTGTTTATCAGTCTAGATTGCTCTGGTGTGAGCTGCCAAGTGTTGGAGATATCAGCTGTAGAGATGTGTGCCCTCTCTCTAATATAATGGAACTAGATGGCACTCGGCTTGTGGTGCTCAAAGAGCTAAAAAAATACATTAAAAAATAAACAGCAATGGCTACGGTTACATGATGGCTTCTCTTTCAGAATGAAATAAATCTGAATTAAATCATTCGGAATTAAAGTTTTTCCAGGTAGTTTACATGGGAAATATTCATTCCGAATGAGGGTTTACACAGGAGATCAGTTTAATCGCCTTTATTTGGGACTGTGCAAGGTTTGGGGCAGGGAAGGTTTCTGATTGGATAGGGGGCGGGGTGGATGTTACGCGTTTACGTTTATCGGAAGAAAACACTGTAGTCCTCGCTCTGGATAACAAGATGCTTGACGATGCCGTTCTTAGTGCCTTTTTCGGCCGTGTTTTGCTCATATTCTTGAAGCAGCAGTACGACAACAACCTTGTTCTTCTAATGCTTCATCTGTTGAGGAGGAGAAGGGAGGTAAAAGAGCGTGCTGTGGTGAATGGCAACCGGTGAGTGCAACGAGTCCGACTGCTCTATCTCAGCCCATTGCTATGCTGCCCATTGCTATGTGCGATATATACGTCAACGCACCAGAAGGGCAAGGGAACGAGCATGCGCAGAAAGACCAGAATGAACTTAAAAAGGAATGAGTGTATACATGCACACAAAATTCTTTCATTCAGAATGACAAACGGAATAAACCACTGTCCATGTAAACGTACTGAATGTCTCTTTCCAGAAATCATGACCTGGTAACTGAAGATAATCCATGTACCCACTGAGGTCGGCCGATCAGCTGCGGTTTGTGGTCCCAAAAAGCCGCTTGAAAACGAGAGGTGACCAAGCCTTCTCGGTAGTTGCCCCTAGGCTATGGAATGACCTGCCTGCCCATGTCAAAATGGCCCCACTGTAGAATCTTTTAAGTCCCGCCTCAAGACCCACTTGTTTTCCTTTGCATTTGATTCTGGTTGACGAGTAGACCAACCTGTCTCGGTGTCTTTTTATCCCTTGAGCTTGCTGTACAGTCTGTATCGCTTCTGTATCTATGATCTGTATATTTCGTATGTGTATTTCTGTATAGTCCCATGTGGATATTCTGTATATTCTTATTCTTATGTATATTCTTATGTGGATTTCTGTATATTTCTGTATATGCTTATGTGTATTTTTGTGCAGCACTTTGGTAACTTCGTGTTTTTGAAATGTGCTATATAAATAAAATGGAGTGGACTGGACTGGTGCACAGTTTCATGTAGGAACTATTTTCTTGCTACCGAACTACACCCACCAACCGTATCACCATGCAGAAGGAGGCAGACATGGCTCACCTAGCACCACTGAGCTAGCTAACATTACAGCTCAGCCGAGGAGGACACCATTAATGCTTACATCTGCAACTTTACGAGCACAGGCCTCTTGTCCATGAGTATGCATGCACGCTTCCTTCTTTGCAGTGATAGTTGGTGGGTGTAGCTCGGTGGAGAGAAAATAGTTTCTACTTAAAACAGCTCACAACAAGGTCTGTGGATTATCTTGAGTAACCAGGTCATGATTTCTGCAAAGAGACATTGCTGTTGCTAATGTCTTTGCAGGGCTGTTTCAAGACACTCTGGGGGCCCTAGGCAAGAGGCACCTCAAAAACAGCATCAATAAGTGATTAACATAGGGGGGATCAAAATAAAATAAATAAATAAAATAAAAATCAACCAGCCACTCTCCTCCCCTGACAAGTAAAGAACAGTCCCTTCATAAGTAAAGAACAGTCCCTAAAGTGCGCTGAGGTTTGTGGACCGTTACCTGCCACAAAGAGAGAAATGTGAACGGCTCGTTTCTCCTCTGACACATCACACCTGTGTGCTGCCACGGCTCGGCTGTTCAGGTATTTCTGGGCAGCCATGAAATCAACAAAGAGGAAATTATTGGACCTGGAGCCAGACTTCCCCGTCGCCAGTAAGCCTTATCTTGCGGCGTATTTGACAGGGATACGGCGTCTGTGACCCCCGTTCAACCCACAACTGGCAGGATTCGCCTTTCGTTTCTGCTGCTGGTTGAAATCTGTACTTGCATAGCGTGCAGAATGATTTGTTTTGCTTGCGCAAGAGGGTGAGTGTCCATGCGCTACACTCACCCTCTTGCGATTGGACTTTGAACTTATCCCACAGTAGTGGTACCGTGAGGTACCGTAGTACTATGGTACTCCAACAATGCTAGCGCAAGCGGCAACCAATCATGCAGGACATGGTCTCAATTTGCATGATGCATGAAAAGAGACAGAAATGCTGTGCAGTCCCGCACAGTGCGGGACGTCTGGTCACCCTATTTAGCCACTCGCAAGCAGCAGCTAGTAGGGGGCCCATTAGGGGGGATTCCAACATGTTGTCGTTGTTGCAGTGTCTATAGGGGTTCCATCATATTGTCATTGATATGGACCAATGTCAGCCGTCTCTGGGGGCCCCCTTCCAGCTCGGGGCCCCAGGCAATTGCCTAGTTTGCCTGTCCGGTTGCGACGGCCCTGTGTCTTTGAGCACCACAAGCCAAGTGCAATCTAGGTCCATTATATTTAAGAGAAGGCAAACATCTCTACAGCTGATATCTCCAACTCTCTGCAATATACACCAAAACTATCTAGACTGATAAACAGCAACAGGTAAGAAGAAAAATGAGTATTTTTGATTTGGGGGTGAACTGTCTCTTTAAAACTGTATCAGACATGATGATGATCTGTAAAGTTACATTAGATAAAAGTCAAGTCAAGTCCAAAACTAAGAGGCAAACTAAAGGAGATGAAGTGTTTGGTCTTTGTCAGTAACCAAAGTGGTGTAATGACACATTAGGTCTGACAGTCTGGCACAGTATGGGCCATCGGGGACATTTTAATATCACTGTAAATTAGTGTTTAATGCTTTATCCAAATAAAGGCAATTCAGATTGTTATTTGGTGTGTTAAAAGATTTGAGATGTCCATTGTGCATTGCTGTACATTTTTCTAAATTTTTGTTTGTTTCGGTGATCTGTTGTTATTGGTGTTGTTTTCAATGGTACTTTGATTACCAAAGAGTCTCAGCAGTTCATAACCTCAGAAACTATGCTTAATGGAAAGGACCAAACATACGTGACTTCACAGACCCGAATATAGCTGAGTTTAGTAGAAGCCTACCAAACTCAAATACACACTGAGACTGTGTAAATGTTTGTTTTCCCCTAAAACATGTTTGATAAGTGCTTTGATTTATTTCTCTGACACGTTAGGATGTTTTTGTGCCATCTAGAGGTTTGGTCTGCTGCTGCCAGGGCGGCACAAAGGAGCAGGTTTCCACATGAATGAATGAGGCTGATGCAACTCAACACTCAGTTTTCAGCCGGAGCGGAAACAAACAAGCGGCAAAGCGACAGCAGCCACAATCATTATGTCACATAACTGCCTGCGCGTCTCTGACATCAGCAGGGCTCAACACTGCCGACAGATTTACAGTCAGTATGTAAATGCAGAGTGTTAAATGTTGCATTAAATAACACAGTCAGCTCGTCTGTTACAGCTTGTTCTCGCATTATTATCGTTACACAAGCAAAGTGATGCAGATCTGAGGGTCTGGACTCACGGATTGGGGCAGTTTAGCAGGTCCGGCTCCAAAGTTGATGGTTTGTTTCTGCTCCATGGTGTCAGAGAGATTTCCTGGATGTTTGATACGGCGGTGTGGATGGTTGTCTCCTCTCAGACGCGGCAGTGCTTCTGCTCTCCTCCTGTGCTCTGCGGCGTGGATGCCAATTATCTGGCGAGTGTGAAATGTTGCGTTCAAGTGCGCCTCGTAAACTCGTGTTGTCGGCTCACAAGATGGACTTCACAAGTCATTTTTGGTTTCTAACCTCTCCTGCTCAATATTTTCACTTTTAATTTTTCTCCGGTATTTTTTTATACATGTATGTGCAAATAAATAAACTTACTACATTACAAGAAAAAAAACTTTAATCATAGATAAGTTAGACATGGTGCACATATTCTGAGATACTGTGACATAGGAGTATTTTTTTTTTTTTTTTTTACAGAAATGTAAATAAGAAAACAAACAGAACTGAAACAAATCTTAAGCCTAATTTATATGTTTCATTGTTTGTTATTAAAAACACATCAGCAATGACAGATTAGAGGAGCTACAGTAACAACACACTACAGACCAGTGATACGCAACAAGCGGCCCCTGGGCCAAATCTGGCCCGCCACAGGGTGCTGGGTGGCCCCCCACCAATTTTCTAATTCACAATAAAAAAAGAGGAGTCCTATTGAGAATTTTTTCATACTGTTAATGTAAAGTAAGGTGCCAGGGTGCATAAAAAGCATAAAAAATAGAACTTGTTAACCAAAAAAGTTCCAGGAGAGGATCCCTTGGACCCCAGACAGAAGTTAGCCATGAATTCAGGCTAAGTCCCAAATGTCCTCAAATCCTAGAGGCATCCCAGTACACCTGGCCTGTGAGCGAATTTGCAAATCTTAGGGCTGTTTCATAGTCGACGCATGCAACGCATGCAACGCAAGCAAGCAACGCAAGCGATGCGAGCAGCGCACTTCCTTTCATAGTCAACACCTTGGATGCAAGTGATGCGGGCGACACTTGAAATGCAATACATCGCTCGTGCAATAGGGGGTAGCAGAGTCACCAGTACATTACGGCTATCTAGTACTGCTGTAGCTAGCTAGTACTGCTATTTCACTAGAGTGCAGGGCACTAGAACTGTCATATAAATGGGGGTGTGCCCATACGAGTTCGCAAAGTTTTTCCTCCTCGCCCGCCATATTTCATACCTGCTTCTCCTGTGAATAAAAAAGTGGTTAATTTCAAGTACGTCGCTTGCATTATCACCCCCGCTGGGAACGCATGGTATTACACACGTCGCTGCGTCGCGTATCAAAAAAACGGACAACACATTTTGAGATGCAAGTACGCATCATGGCGGCCAGTGTGTCTTGATGCGTCCCAATGTGTTTGCATCTGCATGCCTTTGCGTTGACTATAAAACGGCCCTTAGGATGGCGAAGGAATAGCCCGCCTTACTCTGCCTATGACCGGCTTACTCTAACCTTAATCACTCCCACTACTACTACCTAAACCTAACCAATCCAACCAGTGAAAACAACAAATACTAGCCAGACATAGGGAGAGAAGGGCAGGTCATTCCTTCACCATTTTAGGCTTTGCAAATTTGCAGTGTGTGTGGGGCTTTTGTAACTGCCCCTGGTCACCTGTCATTTTGCAAAAATGGACCCCAGGCAAAGCAACGTGAGCATCCCTGCTATAGACAGGATCATCAGATTTATTGGCCAAGTATGTTAGAGTTTGGGCCTCTATCAAACAATGGCTAAAAGACAGACACCAATAGGTCACAAAAGAGGCCAAATAAACCACATGCTACACAGGTCAGAACATCTGCACTAACCTGTTGGGGAGTCACAAGGCTTAAACTGCTGTCAGGCTGATAAATCTGACTTATGATAGTAGTCAGGTGACCATAGAGAGCCTAAATAGAAACAGTATTCTTTTTTTCTAGCTGCAGTCATTCCTAATGTTCATACTGACCATTAAAAGATCACTTTCCAGTGACAGTGATGGGGGACAAAATCAAGCTATTCCAAAGTTCATCAGCAAATTTAGAGTATATGAGTCTACAATGTTGAGCTGCAATGGAAAATCACAATAATTTTGAAATATACCTACATGATTTATCTAATTCACAGTGTTCAAGCCCTTTAATTGCTTCAGATAAACTTTGGATTACACTCTTGTCTAAAATGAGACCTGTGGATTTTGTCCAATAAAGGGTTAATTACCAGCATAATCATGAGTAATTATTACAGCAGGAAAAACCTGTTTCATTGTTCATGTTGGCACCTGACTGCTGTTTCAACAAACACTGTGAACCTGTCCTTTAATCCTGTTCTATCCAGGTGATAATCAAGGCTAGTGCCGGGGCTGTGGCGTTGTGATTTATTCCTGCATGTGCACTCTGTGGAAATCTTTTTTTTTTTCGGCATCACCTGAAGGCAGCACAAGCACCCAAATTCCTCGCCAGGCTTTCTATTGGCTGGTGTCACATGTGTGTCCGGTAGACGGCTGTCATTGGTGGATTTCGATTTAGATGTGGACTGATTGGCTCCAATGTCACGCCACAAAAATGTGAGCGCGCGCCAGACACGCACGAGTCAGACAGACAGAGGTTTAACTGTTACCAAACATCATTATAAAGCGTTAAGATCACAGTAAATGTGGTGTCATGAAAGAGTGTTTAATAAACTGCAACCCCCAAGAAAAACTATTTTAAAAATATGTGCATGTTGTTTACAGTCTCCCATTGTTGAAATGAAAACAAGATCCCTCCTACAAGTAATGCAGGAATTTGGACATTTCAAAATCAGTGCTGCTGTGAAGATACAGGTTGTGTCTTTAGGTTCGGGGGAGAGAAGGGATCTCTGGGTAATCACAGAGGCTCTGAGAGGAGCAGGAAAATACCATGTGTTTGAGGGAACTAAACAAAACTACAATAAGTGAAACCACACTATTGACATAATTTCATTTTTTTCATTTTTTTTTTTTTTGAAAAAGTTCATATATATTCTAGTGTACAAGTGAAACACTGCATCCTATTGCACACATTACCATCATGTACAAGTGATAATAATCTTTCCAAGGTGAAGAAAATACAAAACAAAAGTGATACGAATAAAAAATAAGCATATACATATACCTACACCAACGTATACACTTAAACACACATATACCTGTGTGCATGCAGACATGTACACATGGCTGCAAATACACACACTCCCACACTCACAATAAGTCTATCAACTGTCAGGAAAGGCCATTCTGTAAGTTTTCAGACGAGATTTAAAGATGTGAACAGAGTCAGCTGATGTGATGCTCGGTGGGAGGTTGTTCCAAAGACATGGAGCAAGACCTGAAAAGGCTCAATCACCCTTTGTCTTTAATCTGGACTCTGGAACAGTTAGAAGACCCAGACTTGTAGACCAGAGGGGCCTGTTTGGACTTGTATGTGCTTAAAGGCACTTTAAAATGGAGTCTAAAAGAGACTGGAAGCTAAAATAGGTGTGATGTGTGAGGATCATTTTGTTTTTGCCAAATGGTCAAGGACAAATGACCTGTATAAGCGTGCAGACTCACAGACACAAAGCATGTTTTAGGGATTTAGAGGAAAAGGAACTGTATCCAGCTGTTGTGCATGTTTCTCTCAACATGCACAAGCAGACAGACAAACACAACCTGAGCATACACAACTGAATTCAGAAAGAAATTGCATGAAACAGTAAAAAGGGGTCGTGTATGCATGCTATTCCTCTTTTTACAAGCCGTCTGTCCACACAGGATGCTGCTGCTACAGATGTTAAATTGATTTAAGGAACATGACCTGATACAAGAAACAGGTGACGATACATTGAGCTTTGAAATCGTTAACAGAACAAGGGTGATGCTGATTTACCAAAAGATAGAAAAATTGATTTAAATACTTTTTTTAGTCTCCTCATTTGATGTGACTGCATCATGTCTAATACACAAACGATGATCATGTCATACTGTTGAGTTAGGGTACTGGCACTTTTCTGGTCCAGTTCAGGCACTGCTGACATCCTGTAAACTGATTGCATGAGTTCAGCTAAATGAGAAAAGTATGACTAAGACAGTTGTGGTTCAGAGGCTTGTGAGGGTCACGAGAGGCTCCTGATTGGTTTGTACTTTTAAAGAAGTCACATGACAGAGAGTGCTCTCACAGTGTGTCACTTACTGGTGTTCTTACTTTCTATTTTGAGCCTGCATTGTGCCAGATTGGTGTGTATGTATGTGTATGTGTGTGTGTGTGTGTGTGTACATGCACATGCACACTGCTGCTCTCATCTCCAGAACAAACCATAAATAAACAATGAGCGCACAGTGTCCGAATGCCCAGCGTGGCCTTTAGGACCCAGATGAAAGAAAGTGCATCTCTGCTTCTCCTTTGGGTGCCTGACGATCCATCTCTCCCACGTCCCCTGCGTTCATGTTTCCCACCCTGACTCTCCCCCTCGTGCGCCACAGAAACACGGCGGGGAAGGCGTGCTTGAAGGCCTTCCTGAAGTTGTTGCCCATGAAGGCGTAAACGAAAGGGTTGACGGAGGAGTTGGAGTAAGACATGCAGTGACCCCAAATCTTCAGCTGAAAAAGATGAAGCGGACTTAGATGAAAGGGATCGATCATCGGAGTCAGAGTTTTTGAAGCGAGAGCATCGGTTTCTGTCACCACAGTCCTGTCATACACTATCAGTGCACAGATGCTACCTAGCTACAGCATCAAACACTATGGAGAGTAAATCACCTTGTATAGAATGTAACTGCGGAAGCCAAAAGCTTGCAGGAGGATGCAGACCTGGATGGGGCCCCAGCAGATGAGGAACAGGGCCACCATTACTACCACCATCCTGGAGACTCGCGCCCGCACTGATGCTGCTCGCTCTGCTTGAGCCTGAAGCTGGAATTAAGGAGCTTTAAATACATTCTGTTCTCTGTGGATTTAATAATAGTAAGATAAAACAGCAACTCCATGATTCCTCTTACCTGGTAGCTGCTGTCGATGGGATTCACACTGGACTGCCCCATGCGCTTGAGCATGAAGGCGTAACAGGCGGTGATAGTGAGCAGGGGCAGCAGGTAGACGGCCAGGAAGCTGTAGATGATGAAGGCTCTCTGGAGGCAGGCCGAGGGGAAGACCTCGCTGCAGTACGTCTGAGGGC